TCGTGATGGCGCACAGCAGCATACCAGCGCAGCAGCATTCTCGTCGTCGGAGTTATAGAGAACGACGAGCAAAAAAAAATCAGGCCAAGCACCCCCCCTTTCCCTCCCCCCATCGATCGGCAGGGGCAGCGCGGGCCGGTCCCGGGCGGGACGGGACGGGACGGCGGATCCCAGTCCAGCACCCCCATCAGCCCGACCGGGCAGCACCACGCCCTATCATTATCAGTCAAGTGAGTCAATCGCAGATTTAATTAAACTTCGGGTGGCGTGCTGCTGGTCCTGACGCCCGGCCCGGAGCGCGCGGTGCCGACTGTCCGAGAATCGCCCGAGAGCCGCTGGGCTGGAGGAGGGCTGTTGTTGACAGCAGCGCGGGCAGCGGGCATCCCTGAGTGAGCACGGGCGGGGCGCGCTGGCTGGTCAATTCCCGCACGTCCAAACAGAGGGCGGCGGGGAGTGTTGTGTACCCGGACCCAGCGCCTGGCCCTGGCCCGGCCCGGCCCGGCCCGCCGGATCAGACTGAAACTGATTGCCGCCCCTTGTGCCACCTCGGCCCCAGCGACACCCCCGACACCCCCCTGGAACACGGAACCGCTATCAACTCCACCTGCTCCACCCGCCGGGCTGGGCTCGGAGGTACCGTGTACCCTACCGACCGCCGCCGGACTCGGGCAGTCAGTGACCGGGGCCGTCGTCGCCGTGGTGCTCGGGCACGCGCCGAGTCCGTCCGCTCTTGAGCCGGAAGGAGGGGGAGGTTCGGGGGGCACACCGGCGCGCAGGGGGTGGGGGCGGAGTCCACGGGAGGTCCGCGCCACCCCTCCTCGCCAGTCCAGAGAGGCAAATTTTGTTTGGCAAAGCCAAACATTCTCCTTTGGAAATGAAATCGTTGTGAGCAAACAGGCCGAGAGTGCGTCCCTAGTTGGATTCCAGAAATATATTTCTGTGGCGGTGCGCAGGGGGGCCTTGCGGGAGGGGAGTGGAGGGGGCGCTACGTAAACGCCTCTTTGTCCTGTCGTTGTCTCTCCCTCTCTTTTCCCGGCTTTGATAGGTCTAATTCCGAGCATTTTCCTTTGTGTGCCTTGAGGGTTCGTTGAGACGGTTGTAGGCCGCGGGCGCAGGCAGGGCGGGGCCGGGCGAGACGGCGCAGCGCAGGCCGACCCTGGCCTCGTCTGTGCGGGGCCACTGGGAGCGACGCGGAGCACCTCCCGATGTGTCCTCGCGGCGGCGAGCTGGGGTCGACCAAGCCGGCCGACGGAGGGCAATAGGGCAAGGAAACCAAACAATAACGGAGGAAGGAGGTCGGACTTGCGCCCCGTGTTTGGCCGCTCACACTCACCGCGGCAAAGTTTGGATGACGGTCCTAAACGCCACGGGGCTCGCTGCTCGCCGAGCTGCTCGCCCTGCTCTCCGTACGCCGGCGCCTTCTGCAAACACCCGGCCCTACTCTCATGTTGGGCGCGCCCGCCGCCGAACTTGATCCACCCCACTGTGCCCCGCCCGTCCCGCCCGCCGCCCCGCGGAGGACTTGGCGGTGGAACACTGCCTCGCTGTCTCTGTCCCTCTCGCTCGCACATGGGCCCGCCCCCGCCACCGCAGCACATGGTGCCCCCCGCGCCCCCGTCCGAGAGCTTCTTGCTATTTGCATACAGTCAGAAGCCCATATTTCGGACGTTTTTTGAGGAAAAACGCCTGTGACATGTAGAATTTTTGAAATATGAAAAATCGCAGGGGATTCTAGAATCCTCACGTCGAGACGCACCTACCACTCTCCAAAAATATTTTTTCGCGCTAACGGTGTAGCGGTGAGGACTGTTTGAATCGTG